TTTTTTTACTAATTATGAAAAGTCAACATTTCGTTTTGAGAGTTTATCGTGCAGTGTTCATCTAGAAATTCAATAAACAATAACAAAAATAATCATTCTCTCTTTCACTCAGTATAATGTATCATTATTCCATTATAGTCTCTTTCAATCGTTCTGAATAGCACATGTCTTCATTTTCGAAGGACGTCCACCGTTGTAAGCTACTGATGCAAGTAATCAAGCATGGGTTGATGTTTACATTACTTACTCTAGGTTACACGTGTTCAAACGTAACAGAAGAAAGAAAGAAAAAAAGAAAGAAGCCTCAGAATTTTTTTGTGTAAGATAAAAAGGGATTCGACCAATTCGAAAATATTTTGAATTAAAAGTTGAAGCAGAAGACAACAATTATTTTATAAATAGGTAAAGAAAAACAAGAGTTTTGCTTGTGAATGAAATTTTGATTTTGTTTAGATTTGAAACTACAACAAGTGAAGATAAGAAAAAAAACGTGAAAGCAAATTTCTCTAATGCAAAATGTTTAACCGATATGCATGAATAATTTTCATGTTCACTTATGTATCAATGGCTTGGTATAGTTATAACTTCATTTGATTGTTATACATGGGTATTTTTTCAAGGTAAGTTTAAGAACTCAATAAAATTCGATGATTATTAGTTTTTTAGAATTGTTTAGTTAACCATAAATAATAGAATAAACTATATTGATAGTAACTTCTAGAATATTTATCAATATAATTGAAATTTATTTTTTTATTTCATCGACTATATAATCAAAATAATGTTGTCTTAAAGATATTTCTCATTTATTAGAACTGAGATTTAAATAATAACAATTTTATTTAAAGGATTTTTTTAATAGAAGTTCGATATTTAGAGAGAAACAATCAACTATAAAATATATAGTTTCATTTTTGAAAAAATTTATTCTTTTTTATGTTTCAGAAAATGAAAATACACGGAGAAGATTATGATAAAGTAAGTATTATTTTTAATTATTGATAACCAATGTGGTTTACGAGCTCAATCTAACTATATTATTTATTTATGCATTTAAGTAAATGAATTCTTTCAAATAAAATATTTTAGATTTTTCTTTTGTTTTTTTAATTTAGTCAAATGAAGTTTTACTATATTCTGGTATGTCAATAATTAGTACATATTTATAAATTTATTTAAACATCCAATAATTTCTTGGCTTGGTACAATACTTCATTTTATTATAAACAGTATTGGAGAAGTAGAAACTATTGATCAATGTCGTATATTATATACATTTACAGCAGATTGTTTTCCATTAAAATGTATAGAACTTCATAAAAAGTACACAAGAATATCATGATTATCAACATGATTTTGAATATTAAGATGATATATATGAAAATTAAATTCTTTTATTAATTAATCGTTATATTATTAAATTAAATTTACGCGTTTGTTTTTACTCAATCTTTTTTGGAAAAATCCATTATTTCATTTTAAACACCATTTAAATGCATTAGAAAAATTTATATTGAAAATTTTAACATCAGTCATAAAAAGTACGTTAATAGAATTTTATAATAAATATTTGTATCATTTTTTGTTATTGATCAATTTAATATTGAACTTGATTTAACATCAGTTTTAAATAATAAAATTTCTATATATCGTTTTATTGATTATATGTATACAATATCAGAAATAAAGATGATGTTGTCGGTTTAAATTCTTCAACTACAAGAATAATTTATAAAACAGTTAAAAAGGAAGAAAAAACAAGAAAAATTTAAATATTAAAATTGATTCGATGATACATGGAAAAGGATTAACTAAATATGTTATAGCATGTGCTGGGTGCATTATTTTCTGACGGAAAAACAATTAAATCAATGGAAGTGATTTTAGAAAATATAACAATAATAGAAAATGATAAAGCTTTTTTTTTGTTGCAAATATATCAAAGGTATAGTAAAAATATTTTAAAATTTTAACGAAACTTAAACATTATCAGTTACTATAAGAAGAATTAAGAAATACATGAAAGAACAGTTCTACAGATGTTGTAATATATCATTTTTTTATACTAGAAAAATATTTGTTTTTAAATTTTTATTTTTTTAATTTTAGTTATTCAAATGTCATCAAAAATTAGATATGATTGAATGACTTGATAATACTCATTCAATAAAAATACTTATTAAAGAATGTTATACAGCTGCTGAAAATAATATTATTTCTCAAGGTCAACATCAATCAAAGTGTATTTTTGAATCATTATCTATTTTCTTATTGATAGATTAGTTATTGTTATTAATTTTGACTTAACATTTAGTGTAACAACGATTGTAAGTTGAAATTAAAACATTATTTTCATAATTATATTTTCGTATTCTTTAGTATTTACCTCTTCCCGAACTTATATCTACTGGTTTAGTACAGCTGGTCTTTTTTGCACAATAATAATACACGCAATGAATGAATGGATGGTAAATATTTCTTTTTTTTTATAAACATTTTCTATCATTTTTCATTGAAATCTATTCATTGAAACATGCATTTGAAACAAGCAAACAACTTACACACTAGTGATACATATATGCTACAGATTGAATTCGAAGCACACGATTAAAGCTTAATAGAATTAATCCAACAATTATTACTAGGTATACACGAAGAAGAAAAAACAGGCATATATCATATACATATATTGTTGTTTATTGTAGTTCTGATCTTAAATTAGTTGATTGTTTTCGTCGTTCAAGTTTAAAATAAGCACTCGATCAATCAGGGTTTGGCTTAGAAATATTTATCTTATTTTACTTTTTAATGTTGAAAATCTATATTTTCTCTCAATGTGCAGGTAGTTCAATTGGAAATTTATTCGCTCAGTAATACGATTCACTTTTACTTTTTTTGTTTATTTATGATCCTATACTTATTGTCTAATAAATGAAAGGATAATTGTGAAGCTAATATATTTTGACCAACTTTCATGATTGTTTTGAAGAAGTTTTTACAATCTTTTGCTATGCCTGTCATAGCTTTAATATCTTTTAGAACATTAGATAAGAGTATACTTCTGTATATTTCACTGAAACAGGGTGCGGAATCAAAGCAGTACCCACACCCTCACAATTTAGATGAATATATACTGTTCTGATGTAGACGAGAATATCAAATGGTATAACAGCATACATATAGTTTTGAAACTTTCATTGAAGTATAGCGAGAACAAGTGATCAAGGAGCTTTGAATACTACAATAAACGCCAGATAAATAATCTATCGATCATCGACTAAAACATCTTATATGTTTATTTCCAATAAAATATATTAATTATAAACTAAGAATATCTATATAAAATAATACTGGCTAATGAGAGAATAACGCTCATTTACCTTGGTAATCGTGCTATAAGTCATCATATTGAAATCTTTTGATATATAAATAGTATATAATTATTTGTGTTTCTTCTACTTTAAGTTAGTTACTTTTTTTATCATGAAATCTAAAAAACCAATCATGACTCTCTGGTAATTTGTTAGAAACGATGAGACAATAGTAAAACGGATAGAACTTCTTTTAATATCTCTCAAAATAACTTGTGACAATATTATTTTGGAAATTTTTATTAGCATTTATTCTACATACCATGAAAAGATATCAAATTTACCATTATCACAATGAATCGGCAGAATTAAATAACAATCAATGCCTAAAATATATATGATCTATATATGAAAACGATCGTATTTGAAACAGTTTTTGAATTATTAATCTATAACAATTGCTTTTGAAATATATTTTTTAATCTCATTAAGAAATCGAAGATAAATAAAAAGTGTCAAAGGTTGAGCATTTTTATCCAATGTTAATAATTCATTTTTCAATGTATGAAACATTGATTCTCGATTTTGTTTACACATTGTATATAAATCATTTAAAAGATATCCATTCATTTCGGAAATAATTGGTAATAGACAACTGAATTTATTATCAATTAAAAATAATTTAACATCTTCTGTTGTCCACTGTTCAATTGTAGATAAATATTCACTAAATAAAAAAAGATTATATAAATAAAACAAACAAAAAAAAGAAGCTTACCTTGTTGTACACGAAGATATTTGTTCTAATTCTGGATGGGAATCTAATGATTGATTTAATTCGCTTTTTAATGCCTTATAAGCCAAGGGAAAATCAAGTAGAACAAAATCAATATAATTTGTTCTATTAATTATATTAGTTAGCCATCCATCTGGATGATAATTTAATGTTAAAATTACTGGAATTATTTGACACTGACGTTCATAAGCATAATATGCTTCACATCGACAATATAAATTTTGTTTATATTCATCTGATATACAAATAATAATATATTGTGATTGATCAATAATATCAGCTTTCGTAATCATTGTTGTTCCAAATGTTTCATCACGATCTATCCATACACAAAAATCATCTTTAATAAGTTGATCATATATTCGATAAGTTAAATCTTTATCAGAATGAGAATATGATATCATCACATCATATTTATAAGTATTACCAATAGGTTTTGGTTTTAAAAGTATTTCTTCTTGTGTTTTTAATCTCCATAGAAGACTATCAACAGTTCGTGATACACCTTGATGAGGTGATGATAATAAGGATTTTATATGGTTTACATTTTCTTTTAATACACAATAGGCTTCATTAGTAAATGTTAAAGCTAAGAGAATTTCTAATGCTGGTTGTTGTGCTTGAAGTGGTTTAAATTTTGTTTCTGTTATACAACGAAGAAGTAATAAAACTCCATTTTGTTTTATTAATTCTTGTTTAATTTGATCATATTGAATTAAATCTATGTAAAAAGAAAATCGAAATTTCAAAAAAATGAACAAATAAACATACGTTTAAGACAACGAAGTAAATTATAAAATTTTAACATTTGATTTGGATCATCAATAGCTTTATCAAGAAATTTTCTAAAAAGATTAGCAATAGTCATTGAATTTGACATTGTTTTTGTATCTTGTTCAGTTATTATTGATGAAAGTATTCGAAATGCATTTAATTGTATTTCATCATTTTCAATATCAGCTAATTTTAAAATTAATGATGTTATATGTTTATTTTTAATATAGATTTCTAATTGATTTGATAATGTCATTGTATATAAATTTGGTGTTAATGTTCCCATTAATGATTGATTTAATTTATTATTAATCATATTTTCAGTTTGAATTATTGATTGAAGTATAATAATAAATGAATCAATCAATTGACAATAACCATTGAATGTATCTTTATCAAGAATTGCATAACGATTTAATTGAATACTAAGTGTAAGAATAAAACAAAGTTGACGTAATATAACAGTCATTCGAATATTCCATGAACGAAATGAAGATCTTTGTTGTGATAACCATTGAGAAAATGGATGAAGAAGTGATTGACGAATATCAAGTAAACATTGTTTATGTTGTTGATCAGTTGGATGAGAATAAATATAATCCGTACATGTATGTAATAAAATTTTTTGTCCTGGATCATCGATTTCTTGTGTTGTTGAATGTATAAACATTTCAATAAATGATGTTGAACAAATACATTTTACAATATTATCAAATAATTTTGTTAATAATGGATCAATTTTATTATCAAAACGACTTCGTTCAAGACGTTGAATAGCTCGAAATATGTTATCGAGAGATTTTATTTGTGGATCTTGTAAATATTTCCCATTTAAACTTATTTCTTCAAGAAATATATTTAATTCATTAATAAGTGATTTATGAAATATAAGTTCTTTTAATATTAATATATTTTTTTCTGAAATATGATTTGACATTTTAACAAATAAATTTGGTATTGTATCAAAAACAAAATAAAATTCATCATCATTCGATTGTGTACCAAGACGCCAATGACGTAAAAATTTTAAATACCAATCACGTAAAATAGAAAATAAACGATGATTTAAAAAATCAGATTCATAAAAATATTTTTCATTTGAATGAAGTATTAATTGAATTAATTCTTTAATTGATGTTAGATTTGGAAATGAATTATTATTTTCATCATATTGTATTAAAATTGAATTAAATGATTGTAAAACTTGTTCAATAGTTTCCATTAGAATTTTGTTCGTATGATGAACAATATTGATTGTCTTTTGTTTTGAATAATTTATTTGTTATTGAATATTTTAAGAGAACGAGAAAACTTTCAATGATGTATGAATGAAATAAATTACTGCTAGTAAAAACAACATGAAAAAAAAAAGAAATGTTGAAGCACCGCCAACAGAATGTATATAAGATAAACACTCAAACGACTTGTTGAAAAATTTTGAATTTCAAATAAGTATTTGAAAAAAAGCCATTCAATATTCATACTTTTTTTTGCTTCTCGAAAAATTCTCATTATAAAAATATTTTGATCGATTGATGATTCTTTATATACGATGAAAAGTTTTACAATACAAAATAACAATTGCTTATAAGATTACTCAAGCATGGCTATTTTATTCTTCTCACATACATTCTAGTATTATTCTTTTAATACCTATGATGAATGTTATGTGATTAAATAATGACCTCAAAAAAGAGAACAAACAAACTCACAAGCATATACAAAAGAAACAACGATTATATAGTCATTTTTTTTTTGTTTTTCTTACAATCGGTTGGCACCTTTGGACGGATAGCGACAAGGAAAACATTCATCAACAATGATACACATACACAAGAAAAAAAACAAACAATACAGTTCACATATATTTTTACAAATAATGATTGGAATGTATAACGAAGTATTGCTCATATATGTCGATAGTTTTAATTACAAGTAAATGTTCTTATAATATCATCATGTATTTTAACAATCATATCAAAAGGAAGTTTTAATCGAGTTATTAAATAACGAATATTAGCTTGATGAGGATCACGTATATACCATTCTCGTAATAATTGATATGCACATTCATGATTTCCATCGAATGCAAAATATGTTTGTTGAAATTCAATTAGATCAATTTCAGAAAAACAAGGTGATAATTCACGACCAATTGATTTCCATTGACAACGAAGAGGTTCTGCAAGACGATGAAGAAATTTCATATTATTTAATTTTAACTATTAAAAACAAAGATATACTATAATACAAACGAAAGAAAAATAAATCTTACATTGCATTGATCACTAATTTTCAAACGAGATTCATCAGAAGAAAGACAACAACCACAAATTAAATTGTTGTCAAAATTCTAAAATAAAAATATATCTATCAAATAACCAATATTGATATGGCTTTATTTATATATATAGATTGACATATGATCGTTATTCTCTCATTGTAGTCTGATAGAAACAAACAATACAGATCTAATTACTCATTTCAACTTCATTAAACACACAACGGATGTCTACCTGATGAAGTGGAGTTGATATGATTTCATGCTCTGATGTTAAACTAAGATTGAGTTCGAATATAGGTGATTCATTTCTATATGATCCATTTGATGGATCTAATGATTCAATAAATAGTTTACCAATCACACCTGGACCTATTCGATTGTTCTAATTGAAAAGGAAAAATTTATAGAAATATTTTTCTTAAATATTAATTCTTACTTTTAATTTAAGAGCAAATTGTTTATCAAAATTCTTATTATTATAATCTTTTTTAATTGTTTCAAGTTTAATTAAAGATGGATCTTCACATACATCAATATCGGCAGTAAATAAAGATGAAACAAGACGAACACGAATAACACCTTTAAAATCAAACAATAAAAAGAATTTTATTTAGTTAATAAAAAATTTATACCTGGTTGAATTATTTTTGGTATTCTAGTTTTTGCTAATAATATTGAATCATTATCATTAATGATATCATTTGATGATTTAACAATAACATCAAGTGTACATTTATTTGTTGCTCGATAGAATTTAAGATAAACTTGACAATGATATTCTTTTTTTTTCTTATGATTTTTTTTAATTTTATTTTGCCATTGTAATGACCATTGATATGCTGATTGTTCGAATTCTTGTTGATGATATTTATCTAATCGTTTGAGTTTTTTTGATGATGATGATATATCAATATCTTCATCATCAATATAACAACGTTTTAAACCTTGATGATATATTGACGCCATTATTGACATGACCATCAACAAAATCGAAACACATACCAACAAATCTTAAATAGAAATAAAAAAAAAGAAAAACTGAAGTACTTTATCATATATGATCATGATGACAAGATGCCACTTATGTCTTATCTTGCGCTTATTCTCGTCATATCATTTGACAAACGAATAAAATAGAGTATATGTTTATCTTTTTAAAATCAACTAATATGAAGAAAAATTTATGTTTAAATACTTTTAAATAATTCGAAATAAACGTGATGTAAGACGATAGAATCAGAGAAGTTTCTTTTTGTGTTCTTTTGTAGCAGTCACTCACAGTTTATCTTTAATAACAACAACTATTCTCATTTATGTGCACATGTGTATGTATATAAGAGTAAATTCTTCTCAACAATACCTTTTTTTTCCTCTTCTATTTAACAAGACAGCGTTAGAGAAAGTGAAAAAAAAAAGATAAAGTAGACTGGTAACAGTGTAATAAAAAAAAAGATTACAATTTATTCTATGAATAGAAATCACTTCAAACTAAACTATATTATAATTTATTTCGAGACTTACTATTATTAATTTAGTATAATGTCATATCAAAATGAATAATAATGATTTATTTCCTGTTATTCTAAATATCTCTAATATATACTTCTTATTGAATATATAAGAAGCAAAAAAAAATGCTTGTCTATCTAATGTCGTTTTTTTTGCTCTGTAAGTCTTTTTTTTTTCATGATAATCATCATCTTCAATCTTTTTTTTTTCTTCTTTTTCTTATGTCAACACTAAAGGGTTCAACTTTTAACTTTTTTTCTTCTTTTATATGTGTTCTATGAAAAGGCGACAATGCAAAGAACAAAGAAAACCGGAATGCACATGAACGTGCGTAAGTTAAAGGAAAAGAAGTAGACTGTATGATGAGATAAAGACGTCATTTTTTACGGTCGAACAGCTCATTTCTTTTCTTCCGTAGCGATATTCTTACTTCTCCTTTTCCTTTTCTTTTCCCTCTTTTTTTTTATATTAAAATAATTGTGCTCACGGGGCTTTATTAAAAGTAAAGAAAGAATAGAAGAGGAAAGTGTGACTATAGAACAGGAAATGTAGGTGACCTTTCAATGGTAAAATTTAATAGAATATACATGTGTGTTTGCTAAAAGAAAGTGAACATATAAAAAAATGTGTTGTTTTTTCCTTCTCAAATCAGAATTTCCATAATTGCTTAAAAGTATTAATAGAATTACATGTCTTTTGTTCTCTTTAATCAATTAAAATTTGTTAAAAACAAAAGGAAAAAAAATCTTTTTTTTTAATCGATTTCTAATCAATCCTATTTTTACATGTTGAATAATTAAATAGAATTTGTATATTATACTTCAATTTGTATTGTTAATGTCTTGCAACAACAAGAATTTCATATAGTAAATTCACACATCAAATAAAATACTGATATTAATTAGATTAGTTAGTAAGAACTGCAATACATGAATTATCTTACCGGTAGTATAAAGGATATATATCTTTAAAATTAATTACTATGCATAATTCTTAATCCTTATTAATATTTACTATTCTTTGTATGTACACTGTCGTGTAACACAATTTTTATAAAATAGATATACAATGGCATGATTTTCCTTTCATGAATATCTGATGAATAAATTCTTATGGATTTGATTTAAAAAACAATCGTAGATATACTTATCAAAACACAACTATAGTGAACATTGAAAATTTTGACAATAACATATACTTTTGAGAAGTAATGATTGAGATTTCAGACTAGAAAACTCATTACACAATGGAAATGACATTGCTATGAGTAGTATACATAAGTTTTGATAGATTTAACTTAAAAGTGATCAATAAAGCGTTTAAAAATATTGCGTGTGTCCGTAGTAGGATAATGTTTACATGTACGACGATGTAAATATACTCCATGTCGTTTTATATTTGAATAAGGAGCTAAACATTCCCAACAAAATTCATATTTACATTTCCAACAAGTCATATGATCACAACCTTCATTTTTCTCAATATGAGAATGGCATGTGGGACATTCTTTAGTATTCACATTGATCCAACGTTCACTAGCATGCATTTGTCCATTAGTACGAGGCATTTCATATTCTTCACATGTCATTCCATCATGCCACGGACATCTATGAGTAAAACAAGTTAATTTATGACAATTAACACATTGAACAGTCTTATTCATTGTTGCACCTTCATTTAATTGACCTGAACCACAACCATGAGCACACCAAATGAATTCTGGATGTTGTTCCAGAGATCTATTAAGATCAAATTGTTCATAACGTTCATAGAGTGCATTGTCATCATGATTTAAAAGTATCTCATGAATGGTAATATGTGATAAAGGAATCGAACATTCAGGACAATTTATATTTGAACCAATATTCCAAGTATTACGTATATATTCATACAGACAATTATTACAAATTGTTCGATTTGGATGCACACAGTTATTGGTATAGTATGTTTCAAACTCTTCTAATAATTTCGTTTCCATACATACAGCACATGATTGTTCGAATATTGTCTTATTGTGATGTATGTCTTGTATCTGACCAGACAGCAATTGTCTTACATTACCTTCAATATTGTATACTAAGTGTTGTAGCATTGATAATCGTTCGATAAAAGTGAATTACCTATTGATAGAGTCTGTAAAGTATTGCATCTTATTTAAACGAAATTTTACCTGTATGTACATGCGTCATCTATATTCTTTTCATTTCATTCTTTGACGTATATTTCATTTTTTTACTGTATGAAAATCATCGATGTGTAAGAGTGAATCATTACCGATCAAATCGTGTTGCGTTGGCATAGAAGAATAATTATGATGTGGTTATATTGATTTTATTACTCAATTCATAGTGCAACCACAAAAATAAAATAAGTCATTTTTATTACCGAGACGTCTTAAAATTATAAATATATGATGATTCAAAAGTATCATTTAACTTAAAGTGTTAGCAAAACACATGACATTTATTATTTTATAGAATTCAAAATGATCATATCTTTATAAGAACTATGCTTAATATCACAACCGTTTCATAATCTTTTGCATTATTATTTCAGTAAGATGAATAGTATTCTGATTTTTTTTATTCATAACAATAAAATATACTGTTTCTTTTAACTTCATACATAGTTTAAAAAAGACCAACATGAAAGACTATTTTTCATAATAATAATAATAAAAAAGACGAATTATACTGTTTCAAAAAAAATTGATTAATCATTTCTTCTTATCAATTTATTATTTTCTCCATGGATGAGTTGCAATCAATACAATTAAAGCAATTACGATAACAATAATTGCAACTAAAATAAATAAATAATATATTTTCATTTGTATTAAAATATAAGAAAATTCAAATTTACCAATAATAATAGTCATTCTATAACTTTGCCATTTCATATGTTGTTGTACACGTCTAGCCGAACCATGAAAATGATATGATGATGAATTTAAATCATCAGCTCGTGCACTTAATGCATCTAATCGATCTCCTCGATCAACTAGTTTATCAACAGTTACTTTTAAAACATTTGTTGTTTCAGCAACATCAGCACGTATTGAGCTTAAATTATTTGCTCTTTGATCCATTGAATCACTCATCTTAAAAGAAAAAACGCCTAATGTATCACAATTTTATTACTAAAGAAAAAGATAAGAATTGACAAAAAATAAATAGAAACAACTTTCTTACATATAGATATATCTAATGACGAAAAAGAAAATGTAAAGAAAAAAAAAGGTGTCTGTATGATTTATGAGTAATTACAAGCAAATAAATACTGAGATGAAACAAAATACAATGGTAATAGGAAAGATTTAATTTAATTGAAAAAGATTATACATCAATGTATGGGTTTATAATTGGTTCCACATCATAAGAAGATTCTAAAACAAAAAAAAATTCGATTAGAAATATCAAATGTTTTCATAAAAATAAAATTAAGCACAAAGCATCAATCATCAATAAATCTACAGAATAATCTTCTACTTTTATCGAATCCTATGTCAGTCATCCGGAATCAGAGGAAGCATAGATAATTTTAACAGAATTAGGGTGACGGTGAATCTACATTTACGCTCAAGGTGGCTTTAAATCATTGCTTTCTATTCGTTGAGACATAGCAGAATCATAATATATAGTTGAAGAAAAAAAAACTTAATCATTTCTTTTTATTTACTACCTTCGAATAAATCCTGTAACTGTATAAATAATATAATTATTATTTGTAATCAAAATTAATTATTTACCTGAACGAGTTGCTGTATCAGAACCAGCATTTAATAAAGGTTCATCAACACTTGATCTTAATCGACGAGTTTCTAAAAAATTCATATTTTTAGAATAAAACATTTCTTTAAAAAAATAAAATTTTTCTCAACCTGAATTATTACGATGAAGATTATTCGATGCCATAGCTGAGGCTGATCTAAGTCCATATTTTTCTTCTAATTCTCTTCTTCTATTTTGACGCTCTGTTGCTGTTGTTGTATGAGCTAAAGTATCAACTCCACCATAATTTCGACGTTCTTAATAGAAATGAAAAAATATCAATATAATAAGTAGGATTTTAAACTTCTTTATCTAATTACCTCTTGCCATTAAACTTTTTCCATCTTCAACATATTCAGCTGATATACCATCATCATCAAAAAATTGTCGAAAACCACAAGCATGTAAACATCTTGAACCAAGTCGAAAAAAAGTTCCAATACTTAATAAACATATTAACATTGGAAAGTAAAAATTAAAACCCATTGATACAATTGGTATTGCTACCAAATGACCCATAATCTAATTAATCAACATAAATATAATTCTTTCTTTATTAAATAGTTACTTGTGTAAAAATAGTTTCATCACGATCAGTTTTATTTGTAATAGCTTGATCTAAATGTATCATACCAAGAAAATTATAACAAAGTGGTGCTGTTAAACGACATAAAAATGTTGCTGCAAATATTAAACTATTGTCATCTGTTAAATGATAAAGTGAAAGATAAAAATAATCTAATATACGAATACGAAATATTGTATAATATGCACATAAACATAAATATGCAATGCTTAAACAACAAAATACCTATAGAAAGAAAGAAATTTATTTATATTAATTATACATTTATAGATCTTACTTCAATAGTAAAATAAGAATAATGATTACGAGCCGTATTTACACATTGAGCAAAGAACGATAGAACAGGTCTTGTACTGAAAAATGTCATTTCAGACCAAATAACTAAGAGTGATACAATAGCTAATAGTACACCAAGAAGACGAAGTGCCCATGGACGGATAAGACAATACGTATACCATTCTATAAATAAAAACAATATATCAAATTACTCTTTAATTTCAATATACTTTTATCAAACAGATCATTTATATCAGCGTTTGGTTTTCATAAGTAATTATTTACAAGTAACGCTCGTACGGAGACTAGCTCAGCTCTTTCTCGTAGAAATAGTATTTCTAATAAAGCTGAAGACGGTTCTTTGTATACAAAACGATTCTTAAATAGTTTTTAAAAAACTAACATTAGGCAAGATTCATCTTTACAATAAAGACAATAACGAATTTTTCGATGTTGTTTGCAGTATTATACTATACATGTTAACCTTTAGTAACATGATCATCACTCGATAAGAAATACTAATACTTTTCATAAAGTGAAAATTTTTACCTAATACTGGATGTCCATCAAATAAGTATTTTCTAAACCATGATGGTGGTAATGGATTTTGTCTAACAAATTCATGATTCGTATTTTTTTCGTTATTAACAATATCTTCTAAATAAAATGCTTCATAAATCATTTGTACCCATGATACTTGTACACGATTATGAATATGAATATTCTTTTTTAAACGTTCATGTAATTTAATTAATTCTCTTTCTTTTTCAAAATCGTTAAAATGATTTACTACTGCTATTCGATTATTATCATAATCATCCATTGTTAATTTAATTCGATTAGAATATTGTTCAGGTACAATTTTAATTATTTGTTCAAGACATGGACGTAATGGATCATTTGCTTTTATTTGCATACAAAATTTAGTAACATCATCGATAAGTGAATCTAAACGTTCTTCTATTTCAACTTTTTCATTATAAAGTTGAGATAATTTAAATTGTATATGACCAAGCATATAGACTGTTCGAGAATGATTATATATATTCTTTGGAACTTGAACAAGACCATAACCAAGCATCAAAACAAGAAGAAAAAGACCCCAAGTTGTACTGGCAGCTACGATTGTTGCCTAAAAAAATAAATTGAACTGTTTTTATAAAATATATTTTACACTCTATCATCATATAAGTTCAAAAAAAAAGACTTTTCTTCATTTGTTCTCATTGATACGCGAATAAACTATACGAAATTTCCTAGTATATTTCTGTTAATATAAATCTACGGAAAATTTTTTTACCATAAAATACGACCATGTCAATGAAACTTTAGTTGCTACATAAATAATAAGAACAACGAATAGAAGTGTAAGTACACCATAAAAAATTAAATTTGCTTTAATTGCATATCGAATTTTTCCTTTAATAGAAAATTCTCCTAAAAAAACAGAATATAATTAAAAATAAACTAGTAGATCATATTACACTTACCCGTTTCACAAAATGATTGCATCAGTGGTAAAATAAACCTTTCAAAAGAAAACAAAAATCAAATTTATGTTTGATTTAATTATTTTCTAAACTATACCAAGTAAGAACTTGTGATGTCCAATAAACAACACGCCATAGTTCTCTATATACATCTGGATTAATATAAGACCATGGTCGAGGACATACAAAACCAGTTGAATTACTCTATAAATACATTTTCTGATGCTTTTTTTCTTTATATGAAAATAAATCTGTACCGTAATTAAATTAACAATAGGAGGCTGTATGGTCACTGGTGGAGGATGATCCAGACAATCTTGATACACAGCCTGAAATTTTGAAATGATAATAATACTAAATGTAAGAATTTCTTTGATTTACAAGTGAAATATCCAATGGAAGGATAAATACAATAAGAATTGAAAAGAACCATGCTATAAATACAGCACCAGTAGTTATTGGATGTTGTCGACGATAATCTCCACAACGATAAAGAAGTATTAATGTAACAATACATGAAAAAATCATATCAAAAATAAATGCAAGACTCGACATCTTTTTGTTATCTGGAAAAAAAACAAAGAAATAACATTAATCTTCTTTTTCATCCGTTTTAATTAAAGGAATTTTTGAAAGAAGAATACAAATCGATGGAATATCTTTATTTAATTTAATTTTATCTGAAGTTTGAATTTTCTCATTAGTTTTATAACCAATTTGTACATATTCATGAAAAACTAATTCTGATTGACGTTTAAGCATTTCAGCACATGCTATTGCTTTAGATATACCATCACCATACGCATTCCATGTTATTTGTTCAATAATATTATCTGTTAATAATAATTTTCGTTTAACATATTGAACTAAATTTTTAGTTTTAGAACCAGATTTAACTTGCATATGAAGACATGAGGTATGAAGAGTGAAAGGTAATGTTAAAGATACATTTGATATATTCATAATGAAAAAAAAATCTGAAATAAATATTAATTATGATGTTTAATTCATCAATTGTTAATTTAATGCTAACTAATATGTAAAATCCTGTTAAAATTTATGTTATTATATATTATTTAATTTTCATGTTCAATTTGAAACGTTCGATTAAATAATGATAAGAAATATTAGAAATGTAAGTTATCTTTAATTAACCAATAAAGAATCACGCGTGCATGATGGGATGACAAAATAATGAGTCATTTTATATAAAACGAACAACCAATCATTGATTTACTTTATTTCATGACTGAAATACAATTGATGAAATCGAAATTTATAGTGAGAATTTTTCAAATTTAATATTCATATTTAACAGTATTCATAGATGGCGTTATCGAAAGAGCTTATATTTGAAGAACTTTCTTTAATTTTGATGAAATATTCATTAGGTAAACTTTCTTCATCGATTGAACAAATAACTGATGGATGGACAAATCTTACCTACAAATTTCAAATAGAATCAAATGGAAAATTTTATATTCTTCGAATATATCATTCAGATAGAGAAGAAAATATTCAAGTTGAATTAAACTTTATTTCCTATCTTTATAATCAAATTCATCTACCAGTTGTCCCAAGCATTGATCCACCAGGAATATTTTTATTAACTAATCAATATTATTGTGTTATATTTCCGTTTATTGATGGTATTAAATATATAAATACACCACAAAATTATCTTCGTCAATTAGGGCAAACATTAGAAATTAGTCGATTTCTTGGTCAATTGCATTCTATTAATAATGAAAATACTTTGTCTATATGTAATTATCGAGTAATTAATATTGTCGATACGAAATATCAACTGATTAATTCATGTGATAAATTTCAAAAAGATTATAAAGATTTATATAAACGAATACGTAAAATAATAGATGAATGTACAAGTATGATTCCGGTAATTGAAAATGAATTTGAACAAATAATGTTTGAAAGAAATCTTGAAAAAAATCTTCCCAAAGGTTTTATTCATGTTGATATACATGATGAAATGTTCTTTTCGATCGTGAACAAAATAAAATTGCTGCTGTACTTGATTTTAATGATATATCTTTCGGTTCTTTTCTCATTGATATTGCTATGACATTATGTTTCTGGTGTTCGTGTGGACCAAAATTTAATACAGATTATGCTAAACAATTCCTAATTGAATATCAACATACTCGAAAAATGTCGTTAACAAATGATGAATGGAATTTATTAGAACTTTATTGTTATATGACTATATTTCATCAAATATTATTTATTATTCACTTACAAGATAATGAAAAAATAATTAACGAAATGATCAATGAATTACTTTTACCTAGTGAAGAAATTTCTCAAAATAAAACATTCTTACGAGATCTTCGATAAGTAGTTCAATATAATATTTATTCAATTATATCATACACAAAAGAACGTGAAATATAACATTAAAAAAAGAAATATAAAATGCTTTGTTTTCCCCTCTCTCTATCTCTGTTCTGTTTATATTAAATCAATAATAATATCGCTTCCAATATCATAAGTTGAATTCCATTGGTCTTGACTTCCTACCCATGTATTATATCGTTTAAATGCCCATGCATCATAAAATTGTTGTTGATTTGGTGCACCCATATCCAGAAAAATATCTTCTTGATAATTGAAATGTTCTAATGGTGCTTCAAATTTTAATGGAACTGGTTTTAAAGCATTGACTGCTTTTTCAAATTTTGGATCTGCTATTTGACATTGCATTAAAAATTCAGGATCAATTGTTCCACCAACTTGCAAGGCAAATGATAGAATTGCACATGAATATGGACATACACTTGAAAGTACGAATGGATCATATATAGGTTGACTATACATTATATGTGTATATGTATCGTATGAATATCGTCAAATGATATATATTTAGAAGGTGTTAGTTACTGTACTCAACCTATAAGAAGAAAAAATCAAGGTTAAAATTGATCAAATCGACAAACGATTGGATATGTATGTGTCTGTGTGTCGTTACTCTTTTGTACTGTTCACTTCAATGATAGTGGATATGGACAAATCAAGAACGATACGCTTCATATATCTTTCTCATGTAGAATATCGATATCAGATTTTTAGTATATGATAATGTAAATATATATGCGAGTCTTTATCAATACGAATTTTCGATATGTACATATATACTTGTACTTTCTTTTAATCTTATGTTAAAAGCTGATGAAATTAAAAAAAAAGACAAACTCTATCTAAATATTCATCTTGAATAATAATAGATTTGAATTTCAAATAGATATTCGTTAGTTATAATCTTTATCATTGTCAAGGTGATTTCAAAAGACTTTATCTTATATTCATTTATAACTACATAACAAGATCTTTATCTTTGGTTTACAATACATTTACAAACAAACTAATTTTTGATTTAATGAGCGTTGTATTTAAAAACATCCATGCATAACAAATTAATAAAACATAATTGTCTGTCATTTAAGCATGTCAGTCAATGTGAATATGTAATTAGATATAAATCCTTAACAATACAATATTCAAATCATTATTTCTATTTCATGAACCTTGATATGTTGTATGTGAATGTACCGTAACACCTTTATGAATATACGAGACAAATTACTACGAAGGACAGTATATCAACTACATATTATAAACATATTTTTCCACTTGATATTAACAGATAACTATCAAGGTCAAACTAATAGACATCATGCATTCCATCATGAGTCTTCTTTTTATGTAATATAGAACTTACGTTTACAGTTATATGATACAACAGATACTTTTTAAAAGACACATATAGATATCACTTATTGTAATCTTCTTGATGACTCTCGATAAACACATTTGAAGGAAACACAAACTTTTGTAGTTACCCAAAAAACTATTCATTTTTTATTGCATATGATCAAAGATCTATATGAACTATTTCTTAATCTTTTATATTCCCTCAAAAATAAACAAAATCAAAGCTAACCCGAATGCATTGATATATATTCTTATTAAACAAGATAGTATACAAAAAGAATAACAACATAAAAATACAAATATTTTTTAAGATCTAATCATTAATGTTAAATTTTGATCGATTTGTTTTTGTTTAAAGAATTTTTCATCGATTGAATATCGATAAACAATAAATAATGCTTCTTTACATAATTCAACAAAACGATAACAACAATCTAATTCAATATTCGATAAACGATTTGTACTTTTGACAAATAATGATTCCCATGAACTAATGAAGAACAAAGAAACACAATTAAATAAGAAGTATTTCAATCAGTATTAAAATTACTTGTATCTATTTTGACATGTGTCCCACATACATTGTCCATGATTAGCAAGTAATCGTCGTTCTAATTTCATTAAATGACGATTTAATGGTAATTGTTGAACAAGTTCATTGACACTACATAATTTTTGCATTATTTGTTGGATATTATTCCAAACAATTTGTATAATTGCTTGTCTTTTATTTGCATCTAATTCGACTAACCAAAATTGACCGATATCAGATTTATATGCACTCCAATTTTCGATAATCTATTTAAAATAGACAATTAGCAACAACTTTAAATAAAAAAATTTAACAAACTTGAGTACAAATTTGATATGTTTCTTTATCGGATTTATTTGGATAGTGAATACGTAATTTATTCATTTCATTTAATATTAAATGATATAAACGATGTAAATCATGATCATTTAATTGAAGTTCCTGAGATATAGAAAGAATAATTAAAATGAAAATATTTTTTCTTTACTTTTGTAATATTAGTTGTTACTGTTGTTGTTGTTTGATCAGCTAATTGTTGTTTTCGTGTTGCTTGTAAAATAGATGAATATGTAACCATTTGTGATTTATTATTTGATTTTTGAGTTTTTGGTGAATGAGGTCGTTGTTGATCGAGATTTTCTGATGGTGGAGTAATATAAGCCTTTTTTTCTGTTATTCGATTGGCTGATACACCTGGTTGACTTTTACGTGTTTGTGATTTTGGACGACTAACACTACCCGTAGAAGCAAGTGAATTCGATCGTGGTTTTGTAAGATTTAATGATGATGATGAAGTTGATCGAAGAATATCAGAAGGTGTTTGTGTTGATACTCTTTTCATGAAAGAATCAGATGGTGAGGGTGAAGATTGTCTACGTTTATCTTCACGGGATGATTCACGTGAAGATTTACTCTCGTCATCACTTAAGTCGAATGTAAAACAAGTCAGAGATGAAGCACGATCAAATCGAAGATTATTATTAGGGACCTAAACAAATTAAATTAATTGTATAAGCATAATATTATATACTATGAAGAAGCAAAGATTTTGATATTAAAAAAATTTAGATGTATTTCATCTTTAATGTTTATAATTTAGTATGAAAAACTTTAAATTCGGAATATGTAGGTTCATAATCAAAACAAAAAGAGTTAGCACATCAGTTATTTATTGCTTCCTTTTGCTACTATCATTTCTTACTTGTAGTTATGTATAAGTAATAAAACAATGTTGATTCTACTAATTTCGTATTATAATACTGTTCATTTCAAAATGAAAAAGGCGGATGGGTATTTTTTCAACAGTTTTCGTTAAGAACACGATGAAGACTTCTCTAACTATCACAAAGACTTCCATTTTTTGCAGGAAAAATGGGGGTTGTAAACTGCATTGTGATGACTAAAATATTTTATTAGTCGTAGTCAATAGTTAAATCTTTCCATAATAGTTCGGGAATGCTGCCGATGAGAGACATACTCTTTTTCTAAAAGTTTTATACAAGCTCTTCATCTTGTTCCTATCGAAAATTACTCAAAAAATACCCATTATGTACTTTTACATCAATGGATACTTTTTGTTCTTTACATGGCTTTGTAAATCGATCGATAAATACTTGCTAATTGTCTTTATCTTATTTTAAATACGATTACGAGAAAAGACAATTCTATGTAAATCAGCATAAAAACTTACTTGTTGTTTAATTTGCTTAATATTTCCTAATTGTGCAATTTTATGTAATAAATCTTGTTCATTATATTTTTTATAATATTTCATATTCCATGATGAGTCCTCTTTATTTGCACATAATATATGAAAACATTTTGTTAAAATATTCATTGATTCATTCATAGAACTTTCATCATCAATAGGAAATAAACGGCTGTAACCACCAGCATGATGACTTTCAAAAATTTCACGTGTTTTTTCTCGTTGTAGAAGAAATAAATTTTCTTTCTATATAAAAAATAAATTAGATAAAATAAAAATATATTTTCTTCATACTATTTCATCCAATTCATAAGTTTGATGATCGATATGTTTACCAATACTTGAATACAATCGACGTTGAGCTTCAATTTTTTCAATTGTAATACTTTTCTTTCGATCCGATACTCGAAAACGAAGTAAATTAAATGTATCGCATAATAATTTCATTTTAATATCAAATTCAATTTGTTCACTAATATCAAAACTTGGACAACGATTAATCTATAATTAAGTTTATATTTATTTGACATATCTCAAAAAAAAAAAACAAATTACTTCAATAATCCATGGCTTTAAATTTTTATCAATTAATATATCAAAACCAAGTAATTCAAAACAAACACTTTCACTTGTTGGTAATGTACCTTGTCGACATTTGTTATAAGAAGTTAACATATGTGGTTCAGCAAGAAATATAGTTTTGGTTACAATATTCTTAAAAAAATAAAAATTTCAACTTTTTTTTGGTTCTTACTAAAAATTTTTCTTACTCGTATTTCTTTCCATAATTTATTCACATCTTGTTTTTCTTTTTTTAAATGATCAAAGAAAAATTTAAGTGAAGATATTTTACCATTATCTATATCGAAATTATCAGGATCATTTTCATCAACCATAAAATTAGGTAAATGCATAGAAAGATCGAACTAGAAAAACAAAATATTTTTCAATTTATATACATATAAATTGATTACATACTATATTTTTTGGAGTAGGTATTTCATATTTTTTTGAACTCATACGAACAAGACCATCATTATAAATAAATACACGTAATGGATCACACGAAGTAATTAGAGCATAAATTCGAAGATCTTCAAAATTATAAAAATATATTTATATGAAAATATTTTAAGAAAAAGTTTTTACCAAATTTAAAACCATCTATTAGATATGGTTCTCGTATATATTCTTGAATTATATAATTATCTTTACATTTAATTCGTTTATAATCACAATGAATTGCAATTCTATATAATAAAATATATTTTAATATCAGAACAATGCAATTCTATTATTTTTACCCTTGACCTAAAGCAACATTTGTTGGTTTACTAATATATACTGATGGATTTCGTTTTGGTTTATTTGAAGCATACGAATACCATAAATTATATTCATTTGGTAATATCCATGTTTTAGGAGCGAAATTATATTCTTTAGGAATAATACTTCGTACACTTGAATTAAAAAAACAAACAAAGAATTAATATTTGATGAAGAAATCAAATAATTCTAATATACCTATCATAATTTTTAGCTAATAAATCTTTACGTGATATTTCATTCATTGTTGGAAAATGATTAATTTTTTGATAAGGTTTAAGTGCTGTTACAATATCCATAGAAATTAATGAATCATTCCATAGAAGATTACTAGTAAAATCAGGATCGGGACTTATAAAAAATCCACATACATCCATAGCTTGACAAACTAAAAATTAACATCATTCAATATCGATATGAAGGTCATTAATTTAATATATTTAGTTCTTCAAAAAAAGACATGCACTATATGACATAGTTATAAAAAAAAATCTTATCAAGAGTAATTAATTATGGAAAGCGTGAACTGTTATTCTATTTTCGATTAGAACTCAAGGTATGTTTATAAAAACATGTAGAATATCGATATAAACAACATAACTATTCATATATGTGTACTTGAACATACCGTTTTACATAGAGAAAAATGTTCTTGATAACGAATAACTAATGACTTTTTTACCTTGCTCTCTTTTTTCTTTCGCATTCTATACGTATAAATAGCGCCTGAAATTGATCGATAGCTTACACTCGTACAATGACTATAGTGACGAAATGTCCAATTTTGAATGCCCTTTTTGGGCCTTCTCGAAATAACCCACCACCAAAAAAAACGTCGGATACATTACTGTTATACAGTCCTCAAACGGAGTTTATGGACTATGATCTTCTATCAGTTCCAGTAACTTATGGTTCACGTCGATTAATGACTCGATATGTTGAATATTATATACCAACAATGGAAGTTATTCATTCGGCTCGTGAATTAACAACTCAGTTTTATTAAATGATAACAACAATATTAAATTATGTTATGTAATTATTATTTTACTTTGTAAGAGAAGGAACAATTTGTCTTCTCTACATTAGATCTAAGAAAAGTCGACTTACTAATACGAAACTTTGTACCCGAAACATTTGCACAAAGTCCACGTTTCTTTTTTGGTCTGTATGGTAATCTTTTTATATCAATAAATTGTTGTTCTTGTTTTTTTCTTAATTTTTGTTCACGTAAAAATTTAATAAAATTTTGAAAAGCTTCTGTAGATTCACGAATTGAAGTCATATCAAAATCATGTCTTTTGATACCTAATTTTTCACCTAATCGTTTTAAATCTGAACGACTATGTGTACTTATTAAAGATGCATGAGCAGCTATTTGAAGTATTTGATCATTAGGTGTACGAATTAGATGTTCAAAAACTTGTTCATAAGATATTAAAGGTTGAGATCCAGATGGTTTTACATGACGAGGTTTTAAATTATGTTCAGATACTTCACGCCAAATACGAATAAGTTGAGATATTGAAGCATTTGTTAAAGTAGCTTCATTAACAATTGTCATAAGTTCAAAAACCTTTGCACGACGTAAAGAAGCACGATCAGTATTAGTTAATTTCTTAAATTCATCTAATTTTACTATTGGATATAAATCATCTATTGAAGAAGATTTTGATCGTTTTTCTCGTTTTCGATGAATTGATTCAAATGTATTTTTCATCATATCATGACAAATAACAACTAAATTTTCAATACCCATTGATTTAAATCGAAGTTTATCATCGTCATGTGCTCGATATTTCCATTGTCCATCAATAATCATAGATTTTAATGATGTATTACTTAATGATCCAGATCGAGAAGGATTTAATGGTTGACGCGTCATTAATTTTCTTAATGTTTCATTATTTTTATCATCATCGTCGTCGTCATCATCATCATCATCATCGTCATCACTATTTTCTATTGTGGATAGTTGTCGTGATGTTCTAGTATGAGGAGACATTTGATGTAGCGTTCCAGTATTCGACGTTAATTGACGTGTTGTTCGAATATCAGGAGACAATCGATGTGCTGTTTCAGTATTAGGAGACAATTGACGTGGTGTTCTAATGTCAGGAGATAATCGATGTGATGTTCCAGTATTCGGTGTTAATTGACGCGTTGCTCTTGTATCAGGAGACAATCGATGTGGTGTTTCAGTATTCGAAGATAATTGACGTGATGTTCTAGGATCAGAAGGTAATCGATGTGATGTTCCAGTATTTGAAGATAATTGATGTTGTATTCTTGTATCAGGAGGCAATCGATGTGATGTTTCAGTGTTCGGAGATAAACGACCTGGTGTTTCCGTATTCGGAGACAATGGACGTGGTGTTCTAGTATCAGGAGGTAATCGATGTGATGTTCCAGTATTTGAAGATAATTGATGTGGTGTTCTTGTATCAGGAGGTAGTCGATGTGATGTTTCAGTATTCGAAGATAATTGACGTGATGTTCTAGGATCAAAAGGTAATCGAGGTGATGTTCCAGTATTCGAAGATAATTGACGTGGTGTTCTGGTATCAGGAGATTTCATTACTAGATCATTTGATGTTTTATAACTGTCAATATTCGATGGTGATTGACGACCATGAACAAAATTATTTGATGAACGCTGCATGCTTATTGTTAATTGTAAAACAAGTAGAAATTCTATACTACACTCTCATCTTTCAAACAGATTTGAACTACCATTTGGTATTGGAGAATGCTAGGTAACAAACCTTAACATGTATTAAATGTCATTGTCGATAGATATCACTAGTTAACTATGCAAAAAATGCAAATAGTTAAAATAATATTTAACCTTTATAAAAAAATGCCTCACATATTACTTTACAAGAATACAGAAAGTTATTCCGTTGTATGTAGAGATTAGGAATAAAAGTTTTATAACTATTGGATTAAATCATCTATTGTGTTGAATGGAATCTGTGAAATTCCACGAAAACTCTATTCGAATGTAAAATTACTTGAGATCTCATACCAATTGCTTCTATATTTCAATGGTAAACTTCATTCCTAATTAGAACATCCATAAAGTAATCTTTATATTTCACTTTGAAACCTTGTTGGACTAGTTAAATAACTCATTTGTTGATACAGATTCATGTAATAAATTCAAATTTGTTTTTATTTAAAAGAGCGTGTCAAAATACGGTGCATGACCGACGTCGTTTTTTTAAGCAGTTATCATTTTAGCAAGAAAAAAAAGAATCACAAGTTTAATGACTCAAAAGCTTTGCGCAAAATGAGTGTCTAACCATATAAATATATATATAATAGAAAGAAACCTTAATTAAAAAAGGGCTAAGTCATGCATTGCACTTTGATATGCTCTTTCACACAAAAAAAACTTTTAATATATTGCACAAGCCTGGAACAAGAAATTCGGGATGCACGTTTGAAAAAAGATCTGAAGACGGATTATCTTTCAATTTATATCATACGATAGTATTATTCCTTTGCCTATATTAAGCGATCATATGCATAGTAAAACTTCATATATCATACTTTTAGAAGACTTCAAATATGCAAAAACAAGAAGAAAATATTTAATGGTAAATATGACTGAAAAATAAAGCGATTTTATTGCAAGAATATTATTAAAATGGTTAGAATAATAATGATATGTATATTTGTGAATACATAAAAATAAAAATTTATTGTTTATCAACTACTTCTCGTCGAAGTTTCGCTGCCATAATTCTTCGTTTTTCCAATTCATCATTTGATATTTGTTTTTCCGAATTATTTGTTTGTCCCATTGCTTTTCTAGCAACATTAGCAGCTGATTGTGGTCGAGCATTCGCAGTTTCTTTTTCTAATTCTTGAACACGTTCATTACGTTGTTTATTAATAATTAAATCACGTTGTTGTTTAAGAAAAATTTTTCTTGATAATATTGCCGATGCCGATTCATCATTATTCGATGATGTTTCTGTATGAATTGTTAATTCACGTAATTTTTCACGAAGAATATCATCTGGAACTGAATCAATCGTTTTAGGTTCATGATTTGTCTATAGGCGAAAAAAATCTATATATAGATTTCATTTTAAAATTAAAAATGAATACCTTCTCTTCTTTTGTTTGAATTTGCCGATGCCAATCAACACTAACTTCTTTTGTATCTTTTTCTTTTAAATTAGGTAAAATCTTTGGTGGATTTTTTATTGATCTTTGATTTGATGATGATGCTGATGATGTTGCTTGTATTAATAATTGTAAAACTCGATCATCATCTGTATCAGATGGTTTTAAAACACCACATTCTAATTGTAAACTAACTAATGCTTGTAATTGAAGAATTAAATTTTTTCTTTTCATCATTTCTTTAAATAAATCTCGATTATTTGTTGAATATAATTGTTCATAAGATTCATCAATAATTATTGGATTATTTTTTTCACATGAATTATTCAATTCATCTCTATCAAGTTTAAGATCATCACTAAGACTTGTTAATAATTCATCAACTAATTTTTGATATCGTTTATAAATTTTTTTTTGTTCATCAATTAAAGATAATGATGGTTCATTATCATCATCATAATCAAAACAAGCACAATTTTCATTAATAAATGTTTGAATAGGTGATGACCATATTGATGAATGAATAAAATCATTGATTATATCATCAATCCAATTTCCTTCGCTTGAAGCCATTTTTTTATTAATTCTCTTGTTTTGTTTCCAGTTATTTTCCTACCATAAAAGATGAACAAAAGTTAGAAACAACTTTATTTTGAAAGCTTTTTTATTTTTTTGTATTTTAGCGACCTCTATTGAGAAAATAAAATGTTCAAAATTCATCGAATATATTTAATCCAATTGTACTAAGAATATTCGTTGAAGAGAAGAATATATTTTCAAATTCTATCTTTTGAAGAACAAATAAAACTTGATTATCATTTTCTTAAATATTATTATGTTACCAAAAGTTCGTCGATTTCTTAATAATAATAATAATTCCTATGCAACAAATAATAGATTAGCTTTATCAACAGAACGTTTAAGTAATACTTCAAGTTCAGAAGATGAAAATAATGGTAAGTTAAGATTCTATTTATTATAGATATATCATTCTATTGTTTGGTTAATCTAGTTTATACACAAACTTTATTATATATTGTTCATGTTGATGAAATTGAATTAGGAAATGATCAAGTATATGAGAATAATGATAATCAATTAATGAGAAGAATATCAAAACGAACAACGGCAAGTTTTAATGAATCACAAAACGAAATTCAAACACCAAGATTACCAATAGCAACACCACCTTCAATTAGTTTTTCCAATCCATTTCGACGTTTAAATAGTTATGAAATATTATTTATTTTGAATTCTTAATTGTTTATTTCAACTTTAGATTTACTGAAAACAACGGATAAATCTACACAAAGTCCAGCTACATCGACACCTAATCTTAATGGTATAAAACCGAAATCTTGTTTTTTTTATTTATTAGTTTTTTGATATTTTAGTAACACCATTATGTTCTTCGACAGCTAAAAAATCTTCTCTTTTAAATCGAACACGTTTTCATAATCGAAATAATAATGAATTATTTCCTCCTCCACCACCTGAATTTCTTTATGATAATCCAATTATCACTAAAACTAAACAACCAATTATACAAGCAAATGGTCCCGGTTTAAAAGATGGTTTTGTTGGTGATCATTGTTAGTATATATATATATCAATTTTTATTTTTCCAAGAAAATAATTTTTTCTTGTCAAATTAAAGGTCAATTCGATTTAATTGCACCTGATGCTGAATTACAAAAACTGATTATTGCTATTGATGGTCCATCGAAAGCTGATATTCAAATTCAAGTTCTCAATACAGAAATTTATCGAGTTTATTATAAATGTGAATTACCTGGTATGAGAAAATAATTTAGAAAATTAAAATAATAATCTTATCTATTTAGGTAATTATCATATATCATTGACATATGATGGTGAACATATTGATCGTTCACCTTATCATTTATCATTACATGTTCAACCGTCTCAAGAACAAGTTGTTCCACTTCCGAACATTCCAGTTCGTGCAAGGATTGAACCTGTAGAATTTTATGTAATTATAATTCATATATATTTTAATAAAAAATACTTATTTATCTATACAATATATATTAGGTTGATACTCCATGTATAGTCAGTGTTCGTCCAGAAACACCATGTAATGTTTTTCAAGCTTATATTCAAGCACCTCAAGGAAATATGAATCTACCAATAATCGTTCATAAATCAGCAAAATCAGGTAGACTATTATTTATTTTCGTGAAGCAATGGTAGATTAATGGGACATAGAAAGTTAATCTTTATATTTTTCTGCCATTATACATTTGGAAGGGCAACATTTATAAGGTTATTCTATTCTGAGTATTTCTTAAAACAACTAAAGATCAATTAATAAATCGAACACATTTAAATATCACAATTTAAATTCCGCGACGATTGCGAAGGTCATATTCATCTATTCATGGTTTTTAAGATAAAAAGAAATGAGAAATAATGCGTGCTTAGTACCAGCTGACGCCCATTGAATGAGATATTTCTTTTTTTAATATATATTTTCTTTTAAAATTAATTTAGAATGTTATGAAATCTATTTTATACCAAATACATGTGGTAATCATTGGCTTAATGTAAATCTTAATCATATACCAATTATTGATAATCCTTATCGATTAGTTGTACAAACAAATTTTTCCACGAAATCAAAAGTAAATAGTAAAGAAGAACTATTTCATGCATACGTCGGTAAGTTTGGCTGCGATGGCCGAGTGGTTAAGGCGTTGGACTAGAAATCCAATGGGATCTTCCCGCGTAGGTTCGAATCCTACTCGTAGCGTTTGCTTTTTCCCTTCTTCCGTGTTCTGCCATGATGTATGATGAACTCATGAAAAGAAGGAAAAGGAAAAGTGAAAAGAGGAAGTAATCTATAACTCCCTTCTCTTAATATTTTTTCTTTTCTAGGAGAACTAAGCCAATTTTTTGTATCAAAATCACCATATGATTCATTATCAAGAACAGGACATTTTTCTGTGGGTATCAATGGACCATCAACTGTTTTCCTGGATGCTACTGAAACTGATTATGGTTATGAAGTAATATAATGTTTATTGGAAATTGAATAATATTTATTTTTTTTCTAGTTTCATTATAAACCAATTCGACCAGGAAAATATTTAATAACGATGAAAAATGCTGGAAAACATATTCCAGGAAGTCCATTTCTTTGTCATGTTTATGGTTTGTTAAATTTTATAAATTAATGTTCTCTTTGTTTTCCTATAGAACTATTTCTTTAGATAAAATTAATGAAAATCGATCGACTAATTGTGATAAATTAGTACCTACTCAATTGAAATCAAATAATAATAGTACTCTTATAGATGTTGATATTCTTCGTTCATCAATGACGGGCAAAGCTTCACAAATATGTGTCTTTGGAACTGGTCTTTACGAAGCTAAGAAACAACGAAAAGCAACATTTAAAATTGATGCTAGTCAAGCAGGTTTGATATTTTTTTGATTTAAAATATAAATCTTATATAAATTCTGACATATATATATTTAGGTTCTGGTTCACTATTAGTTGGTCTTTATTCTCCTCTTGGACCTTGTGAACGTCTTGTTATTAAACGTATAATGCCATCATCTCCTGGTTTTATCTATAAAGTATCATATCGAGTACGAACACGTGGTCAATATATATTAACAATTCTCTATGGAATAGATAATGAACATGTACCTGGCAGTCCTTATCTTGTGATGGTTGAATGATATTGGTCTTCAAGTTTTTTGTGATGTTTTTTTTACATTAGTATTATTATTTTGTTTTTGTTTTATGTGTATGAGTGATTCTTTTGTTTTTCTCTCTTGAACGTCATTCTTTCGACTAGTGAAACAGTGTGTGTGTATGTCTGAATTACAGAAAAAAAAAACGAAAAGTTGATCGAGAATAAATGAAAAAGTAAATGAAACAAAATATGTTTATTTACATAAACAAAAATGAAACAGTATAAAAGATTTTTTATGTTTGATAGTTTATTTTAAATAACGACAGTCTTTTGGTAAGTCAGTTAACTTGAATAGAAATAAAACAAAATAAGAAATTCATACTCTACTGTGCTAGAATTAATTACAATGAGTCGTCGCTATTCACAAACTCCCTTACGTACAGCAAGACCATTTACATCAACTGAACATATTTATACAAAAATACAAGTACATTATGCTGATAATATTGAAGATATTGTTATAAAAACAGACAGAGAACCAACATGTGGTGATTTAGCTGGAGCAATACAAAAACATTGTCGTGTTCCTGTTGGCAAGCAAATGGTTTATTTTCGTGGACAAGAACTTCATCAACATAATGTAGCTGGTTATCAACGTCCACTTTCAAGATATGGAATGTTTTCAGGAAATTTAGTTAGATTAGTTGGTAGACGAGGACTTCTTTAACCAAATAATTATTTATTTTTTCATTCAAACTGAGAAAAAGAAAAACACTTTAATCCCTTTTTTTTACTCTTTGGAATGACTATGAAATAAAACATGGAAGACATTCATAATAAAATAGATATAATATTGCAAAAAATATATATATTATGTGCGTAGACGAGGCGTTGATGATGAACCATTCTCTGATGAAGATATCGGAACAGTTGTTGAAGTTGATGTTGTATCACATTGTAATAATCGAGCAATGGACGGATCGGATGTAGCACCTATGAATAGATTGTTATATTAAAAGCAAAAGAATAAAATATTACCTTGAATAAATTCTTCACGTGATAATTTTCCATCATGATCGGTATCAAATATATTGAAAATCTAATATAATATTGTTTGAAAAACTAAATGTTGTATTAAATAGATATTCTTTTACTTTATCCGTTCTTTTTTCAGGTGTAGATTCATCATCAGGTGTTTGCATAACTGAACCAACCATTTGATAGATCGCCTAGAGAAAAACTATTGGTAGATATTTAAATTCTATATTTTGAATTTACAGTAACAATTTCAAGCATTTCTTCTTTAGTAATAAATCCATCTCCATTTGTATCATAAAGACCAAATGCCCAATTAAGTTTTTCTTCTAAATTTCCTTTCGATGTTATACTTAATGCAGTAAGAAATTCTCGAAATGATATTCGTTGATTACGATCAGCATCAAATCGTCGAAAAACATGTTCAGCAAAAGCAGAAGAATCACCAGCAGGAAAAAATTGTGCATAAATCTTTTTAAATTCATCCGATGTTAATTGACCACTTGGACAATCTTTATGAAAACATTTATACCAATCTTCTACAAAAAGAAACCAAAAATCTTTTATTTAATTAAAAATAAATTTTGTTATTACATACGAATTTCTGCATCAGTAAATGTTGTTAGATGACGAAAATAATCTAAATCCGTTTGTCGAAGTTTACCAGGAGTTTTATTACCCATTCGAAAGATTTATTAGTTTTATGACAATGATATCAAATCCATTTTAATTGAAATGTAATAGATTGTCAAGCTTTATAAAGAACAAATGAGATAAGAGTTTAATAGAATACAGTGTACTCTATCTTTTCATTCTATTGGTTATTTAGATTATCCATTCAATATTATATTTATTTTTGTTCCTCTAGCGGTTTACTAAATGTACATATATTTATATGAAAAGTAATATATCAATTATTATCGTTCATAAAAAAACATTTTATTTGATCGATATTGATATATTTCAGGGAATTCTTTTTAGATCTTTGTTAATATGGTCCAAGAAATAAAAGCTGATACAAAGAATGAGTCTAAAACTCCTCTTCTATCAGCTAATTTATCATATCCAACACGTCCTTATGTTGCTCAAATGCCTGCATTAATACGTCTTATTGGTCATTATACAGATTCTGGTCGATCGATGCCAACATCTGGTTCACCCGAAGCAGAAACAGCTTTTCTTAGTCATCAAGAAGATGAACAAGAACAACGACTTACTTATAATCACGATACTCAACCTATAGAAGTAATAAATCCATTTGTTCGTTGGCATAGACGATGGTATCGTAGTAAAGGTGTTGATCCATCACCAACTGTTGGTGTTTATTATACACCATTTAATATGGCACTTGAACCTTGGGCTATGGGTATAGGTGATCATGGATGTGGTAAAATATTTAAACAATATCGAATGTGCACTCATATGGTAAATATCAATATAGTTTTATAAGATATACATATATATCTTTTATATAGATGCCAAGTAGTCATCGATATTTATGTGAAGATGAAAAAGATGATGTTAGAGAATGTATGCTGGCAGAAAAACGAGTAAATAGATATAGTTTTTTTTTTCTTTCATATTTTTTATTTATTTATTTAGATTCTTCGTCATCAATTCATGTATCAACATCGGTAAAATGAAATGTTTTATTTTATATTTAAATAAATCTTGTTTTTATAGTGTTAAGAAAAATTTACCATTTCCAGAAGATCCATTAATCGATGGTTACAATTGGCCTTCATTTAAATATTTAAACTAAAAATATCACTTTTCTTTTTTTATTTTCATCGACAGTCCTCATTTTGTATTTAGTTTTGTTTCAGTCGTCTCTTTTTCTTTCCATTCAATAAACTATAGAAACCCTTTTAATTCATATGATTGAAAGAATATTATTTTATTTTCTATAGAATCATGGCATCATTTATGCTTAGATATATAGCTCAACGTAGTTTTAGTCGAACTGCATTTCAATATGCATCTTCGACTCCTTTTGTTCAACGACAAATTATTCAAGAAGATGGTAAAAATTTAATTTAAAAACTAACCAATTTCATCGCCATATATTTTTCTACAGATATATCACAAACAAAAAAAGAAACTAATACTTCAATCGTAGCAGAAGATCCTCTTCAACATGATGATTATTTTAATGTACGTTCAATGGTTACACTCGACGATCTTTTCAAGTAGGTAGGTTTGAATATAATTATATTCGTAGTTTCTATAGCGAAAAGATTTTTTATTAAAAACATCAAATCAAATATTAATATTTTGTTTGTTTAGAAATCGTGCTCATTATGGTCATGTAACTGGAATGAGAAATCCATGGATGTCTCAATACATTTATGGTCATCGTTTGGATGTTGATATTATTGATTTAGATAAAACATTACCCATGCTTCATAGAGCATTAAATTTTCTTGCTCATATTTCTTATCGTCAAGGTGTTATTCTATTTCTAACACGATATCCAGCACATGTTCCATTAGTTGAACGTGCTGCACGTGATTGTGGTGAATATGCACATTGTCGACAATGGGATTATCCATTTACAAATACTCAAGCATTATTTGGATATGATATTCGTTTACCTGATGCATGTATATTTACACATACATTGGCACCACCAAATCAACTTCATCCAGCTGTTAGTGATTCAAATAAATTATTAATTCCAACTGTAGCTTTATGCGATACAGATTCGAATCCAAATATTATAACATATCCTATACCAAGTAATGATGATACACCAAAATTAATTGAATTTTATTTGACATTATTTCAACAAGCTATTATGGCTGGAAAAGAAAAAAGACGAGAAAAAGATTTAGCTAATTAATAAAAAAAATAGAACATAAAAATTCATGTATTGTTTATTCAAAAAAAAAGAGAAAATAAAACTGAGTTGCAATACTCGATTGAAATAAATGCGTAACCTCGGATTTTATCAGAGAGTTATGTGTACTGCAAAAAGTGGAAATAAACATTGACTTTGTTTTTCTGATTCTTAGTCAATAATAAAAAGTTCTAACGGCAGTGTCAATATATATGTCAGATTCGGAATCAGCATTAAAAACTGAGTCGATTTATATATGTTGTGAATAATTTTGAGAATAATATTTTTTTTGAAAAAAAATTCCTGTACTCCCCTCAGGGATGATCGGATCAATAATGAGAATTTCTTTAATAACTCAGTTATGGTATAACCGGTTGGGCTCATCTTCGAACTCGACCGAGATATCAATGAGACTAAACTCTGTAGAAAATTTCAGCTCAGTCTGATTCTCCTTTCGAAAGTTATTGTGTAAGCGGCCGGACAGACACACTGATCGATTCTAGTGGTGTACTCACTTTTTGAGTACCCAAAAAGCCGTGATATTCTAAAATAACTATGATTGTCGAAAAAAAAGAAAATCAGAAGTACATTACTCGATTAGTATCTCATTTTAAATTGAAAAAAACACAAAATTTAATATTTATTATTTTATCTAGTGTTGATCTTAGAATAACGATTTTACAACGAAGGTAATTTCTCATAATTCTGTTATGACTGAAATGAGTTTTTGGCAAGTGAATACCAAATGTTACTAAAATTTGTTCTATACTCTATATTAAACTTTTTTGCAACTGTAGAATATTTTGATATCATCTAAAGATGTGATAGAATGCCATCAATGAAAAACTGACACAAGGACATGCTTGTTTATTGATGAAATTGAAATTTAAAACGTTAAAAAATAGTAGGAAAAAGCAAGAGTATATTTACTCAATGTAATATTCAATCAATTATTATATGTCAGCAGTGATAAATCATCTACCTGCTAGAAAGAAAAATGAAAGAACGAGAATGATCGAATCTATATTGTTTTGTATCTCTAGTGTATATTATATTTAATATTTCTTGTTTTCCATATTCGAAAAAAAAAACTACAAAGTTAATGAGACATTCAATGTTATATTGAATTCGTTTTCCTCATTTCCTTTTCCATATAATTCGTAAGGTCAAATTTCCATTTTTTTCGTCGTCTACGTCCAGGTTTTCTCTATTATATTAAAATCGTTCTTTCTCTTTTTCCACACAACATACATGTACTAAGGTCATCCACGCCTAACACTAAATAATAAATTATTGCTTCTCCTTCTCTCTCTCTCTCATTTTCTTCGAGAGGAAAGGAAAAAGCAAAAGACGAAGAAGAAAACATTGAACACTAGCAAAAACATGCAACATCATCGTCGTTCGTTTCTCGTCTATTTTTCCTTCTCATTCTTTTCTATTGCATTATTTTCTATTCATCTATTTCTCGTTTTTTTCTCTCTTTCAGTCAGTCGTTAGTCATGCGTTCGGAATTGTTTGTTGAAGAAAGTAACTGCAACTATAAACATGTCATCAACATTCTGATTGAACTAGAAAAATAAACTAAGTATAAACTTTTGCTTTCATATCATGAGTAATAATTCGACCTATTTTTTTCTTTATATAATCGTTTACTATGAAAAATAAATAGATCTACATATATTAATATTATTTTTAGAAAAATAAAAGCAATAAAACAATGTCTACAACAGTAGATCCCTTATTTGGTCTGATTCAAGTCTCTACATCAATTAAAATAAAACGATCTGATGGTCGAGTACATCTAGCTAAAGTAGTACAACTTTCACCAGAATCAAAATCTGTTGGTGTCGAATGGAATGAACATGGTGAAGTAAAAGGAAAAGAAATTTTACTTGATCTTGTATTTGAACTTAATAATGAATTACGACCAAATACAGTATTTAAACAACCATCATCAGTTAATAATCAACAAGTTCGACCAACAGCAGCTGTTAATCTTCCTGCTAGTGGTGTATCATCAAGTCGATTAACATTAGATATTGATACATTAGAACGTGAATATAATTCCCGACCACCACCAACACTTCCAACACATTTATTACAAAAAATTCAACAACATCCAATCTCGATTCAAACAACTTCCACACCACTTCCTCCTCCACCAGCTAATAAGTATATATGCATTGTTATTATTGTTTTTTCCTTTTCTTTAATAACGTTTTCTTTTTATATAATCTAGCACTAATACAACTACTACAACTCAACCCAAAACAAGTTATCTACCATCTGGTACAAATCTTACATCGGCTATTCGTTCAATTCGTCGTCCTGCGGCTGCTCCTCAGACAAGTTCATCAGTATCAAAAATAGCTACACCTTCATCTCCCATTCCGACTTCAACGCCAATTGTCGAACCACCACCACAACAACCTCAACCTCAATTACAGATTCCACCACCAACAAATAATAAAATAGAACGTCGTCTTTCTCGTCTACATGTTGTACAACAATCATCTTCAACAAATATACCAAATACAATTATACCAACAATTACATCTGAACCACCAACTTCAATTGGTTTACATGGCCCATTTGGACAAATGATTCTTGATTATCGTTCAACATTAACTTATTCTCCTATACTAAATTCAAATCCTAATCAACAACAATCAAATCAAAAAGATTTACGTATTTGTGTTGCTGTTCGAAAACGTCCATTAAATAAACGTGAAATAGCTAAAAAAGATAATGATGTTATTACTATTCCAAATAAAGATCATTGTCTTGTTCATGTACCAAAATCAAAAGTTGATTTAACTAAATATCTTGATAATCAAACATTTAAGTAAGACAATTTCATTATATAAGAAGAAGAATTATGTTGAATTGTATTTTAGATTTGATTATACATTTGATGAAAAATCTTCAAATGAACTTATTTATCGTTATACAGCTGCACCACTTATTGATACAATTTTTAATGGTGGTAATGCAACAGTATTTGCCTATGGTCAAACAGGATCCGGTTTGAAAAAAAATAAAAAATTCTTTTCTCTTTATATTTTTATTCTAATTTAAGGTAAAACATTTACAATGGGTGGTGATTTACAAATGGCAAAGACTGATTATTCACATGGAATTTATGCTCAAACAGCACGTGATATATTTCAACGTCTATCATTACCACAGCATCGTTCATCTATTGAAATCTTTGTTACATTTTATGAAATATATTGTGGCAAAGTTTTTGATTTACTTAATAATAAAAAACGTTTACGTGTATTAGAAGATCAGAAAGGTCTTGTTCAAGTATGTGATAGAAAAGAACAACAAGTTAAATCTGTTCAAGATGTATTAAATATTATTCAAAGTAAGTCTAATATATATATATAAGATCGAAATCAGTGTTTTGAATTAAATTACTTAGACGGTATGAATATTCGAACATCTGGCACAACAGCAGCAAATGCTAATTCATCTCGATCACATGCTATCCTTCAAATTATTCTAAAAACATCATCACCTGTGTCCGCCAATACAAATGCCCCAGCATCATCATCATCATCATCTCGTAATAATAATCATAACAATCCAGCTGTACTTCGTCGATTAATGAAAGAAGTTGGTAAAATGTCTTTAATCGATTTAGCTGGTTCGGAACGTGGTAAAGATACAGCAAGTGGTGATCGTCTTCAACGTATGGAAGGTTCAGAAATCAATAAATCCTTATTAGCATTAAAAGAATGTATTCGTGCATTGGGTCGTGGTGATGGTTGTCATGTACCATTTCGTGGTTCAACATTAACAAAAGTATTACGAGATTCATTTATTGGTGATAAATCAAAAGTATGTATGATTGCCATGGTTTCACCAACACATTCTGATGTTGAAAATACAATGAATACATTACGTTATGCTGATCGAGTTAAAGAATTACGAGCCGGAGATAATCGTGATGTAATATTAAATGAAGATGATGAAAGTAAAATGGATGGAATATCACAAGGTTTGTTTATTTATACTAATATAAAGAATTTTTATGGCTATTATTTAGGTGTACCAATTGATGATAATAAAGAAAATCGACGTCATCATCATCATTATCCACCTCATCATGATGGTTCAGCATCATCAAATGATAGTACAAGTTCATCTTCAAATGATCTACAAGATGATGAAGACGAAGAAGATGATGAACAAAATGAAGCATTAGCTTCATATGCTGCTCAAGTTGAACATTTACAAGAATATGAAGAAGCATTATTTGATTCATGTCAAGATATTTTAATAAATAAAGAACCAATGTTAACAAAACAATTACGTACAATTGTTAAACAAGCACAAGATACAGTTGATTATGATCAAGAAAAATTTGTTAATGATATGCGTACAAATTTAGATCAACGACAACAAATTTTAAATGAATTACAAACACGTTTACAAGCATTTGCTGATTGTCTTCAACAAGAAGAAGAAGTTGCTACTGCACAAAGAAATAAAAAACAACAACAATCAAATGGAAATACTATGCATTAAATAAAACTTTATATATATATTTTTTCTTCTCCTTTTTTCGCTTATTTTTCTGCTTATTATTATTTTCTGATTTTTCATTGGGTATGTTTGTCTTATAATATGAATGATAAATAATATATATCTTTCACAGATCAATAAATACTATTTCTATATAGAATGAAAAAATAGTTATACTTATAGAATTTTCTGTAAATATATAATGTTTATTTTAAAAAAAAAACTCTTCCGTACAAGCAAACGATGCGAATATTATAAAAAAAGGAGATAAGAAGCAAAAGATCGATTTAATAAAAAGTGTCAGTGTATTTTCTAAATGTTTTGTAAACCTCTAATTTCTTGTTCATGAAAACGTTCTTGTAATGGCACATTATATCGAAAATCATTGTTGTATTTATTGATTGCTTTACGATATGAATGCATAATATATTCCGATTGATGATTATATGTATGAAATATTGTTGGTCCTTGTTGTTGTTGCATAGTACTAAATTTTGCTCTTGGCAATGAAACAGATGGAATCATTTCTGTTGAATAACGATCATTATCACTGAATTTAGTTGGATTTAACATAGCAACAGAACGATCACTTGAATCGTGATATGATGATGACATGGGTGATTCAGCATTGAAACGATTTAACATTTTCTACAATATTTCATACAAAAATAATAAATGTTTTCTATAATAATACTATATTACTTGTTGATGGAGTTGATCTGATTGAATTTTATTCAAACGACGAAAGTGAAACACAGTCACAAATATTCCACATAACTTAAGAAAATGAAAAGGAAGAGTTTATTATTATTATTATATTGTTGTTATATTGAACTCACTGAAACAATTAGACGAACAATCATAACAAAAAATAAGATTTTAATTTCTTTCAGCGGTCGATTCTAAATAATATCAATAAAACATTTGTGTTTCATGAAAATAAATAATCAAACTTGATGTTGATGTTCTCGAAGAGAAAAAATAGTAACAATACCATCTGCAAGTAACATGAATATCATCAAAATTGACCAGAGAAATAAAAGCCATGCTTTTTCCTTAATTAGAAACAGAAATAAACTTGATTATTTAAATCAATGAAAATGTTACTAGTTGAATGCCACAAAGAAGAATAATAATAAGAAGAACAACAATGAAATAAATTGACACTAATATCCAACCAAAAATAATCATGGATGAAGAAGATGCTATTGTCCATAAGACTAAAGTAAAAGAGAAGATCATGATTGTATTAATTAGTTAGTTAAGATGAATAATACATACCACCTTCACTATTATGTGATTGTGAAGATGTCATTGATGTTACATCTATCAAGGCATGTAGTCCACTACTTAGATAAACAATCTATGAATATAAAAACAGTTGTATATATATATGTATAATGAAGTTTTTGCTTACAATAATTAATAATGCTGTGCCAAGAGATAAAGTAGACCATTTTATTTTACTGAAAATATTATATCGATATGAATTAGGAAAACAAGAACATATAGAAGGATCGATTAATTTATTAACATTAGATGACATTATAAGATAAAATAATAGAAATGAAAGAAAAAGATTATGATTGATTTCGATAGTACATAGAAGTGCACATGGTGATTTTATATCTGACCAGAAAGAAAAGATAAATAAAAGAAAGGAAACGAAAGAACGAATAAATACATGCATATATTTATCTGTTATTTGAATAATGTAAACAACTTCTTATATATTTGACTTTCAGTAGTAATATCTTAAATGCGTCATATGTTAAATACTTTACGAAATCAAATTAGAAAATGAAAGATAAAATAAAAAAATATGAATAAGAAATGGATGAATAAATCTTTTTTATTTTGCTGAAACTAGCTGTTCACTCAATTTCCATAAACGTTCAGCTGATTCCATATCAACCGCATGTGCTCCCATTCCCCAAAATGTTGTCATATCTGGATTAATTCCTCGACTAATTGCACAATTTTCAAGATATTCTCCACCATGATTATCAAGTTCAGGTGCTAGAGCAGCATAAACACTTGTTGATGCACCTTGTTCAACATTTTTAAATCTATCAATAACAGTACCATCTTCTTTAAACCATCCCATTGCTCGTTGTTCTTCAATAGGTAAATATTTAATTAAATTTGTCATAATACCACCTGGATGTAAAGCATACGCTTGAATACCTTCAGATGAATATAATTTATTGAATTGTTTAGCAAAGAGAATATTTGCTGTTTTACTCTGACCATAAGCTGACCATTTATCATAATTTTTTTCCCAGTTAATATCATCCCAATTGATACCGCTACGTCTATTTGCTATTGAACTAACAACGACAACTCGCGAGGGTTTACCTGCTTTCAACTCCGGCACTAAACTTGTAGTAAGAAGAAAATGAGCGAGATGATTAACACCAAATTGTGTTTCAAAACCATCTATTGTTTTTTCATATGGACACGCCATAACCCCAGCATTACCTAATAATAATAAAATAATAAATCTACATTAAATTAATAATGTAAAGAACTTTTTACAGATAAGAATATTGACTGGTAAATGACGTGCTTGAAATTGTTTAACAAAATCTCGAACGGATTGAAGTGAATTTAAATCGAGTTCCATTACTTCAATTTTATCATTACCAGTTGTTTTTTTAAGATCTTCAATAACCTCTGCACCTTTATTCATATCTCGTGCGGTAATAATAACATGTGCATGTGCTGTTGCTAATGCACGAGCTGTCTCAATTCCAATGCCTGTAATAATACAAGTATATTCTCTATTTAGTTTTTTTGGATCATTCAATTTATCTACCTGATGTACCACCTGTAATAATTACTAGTTTACCATCAAGATTTATATTAAGTCCTTGAACAACTTCAAGTGCAGTTGATTTAGCATGAAAAGTTGATGAAGTCATTGTATGTTAGATATAGTGTTAATTTCTTTGCTACACGTTGTTACTGATACAAGTTAAAAACAACTTACAGTTTATATAGATAACAAATAAATATGATAACATTGTTTGAAAAGTATCTAGTTATCGTTTTAACAACATATTTATATATGAATTCAATCCTAATAAAATACTCAATTTCAAATATTTTTTCAAATTATATAGAGAAAGAAAAATGATCATATTGTTCTTATAATATATAGAAACAATTCTTTTGCTTATCGTTCACTTGACATGCAAATACGCATATCGTATATACCTTATTTATATTTAAAAAAATATTTTTATACGCCGTATGGAATTCAATAGAATGTACTTTTATTTGAAAATAAATAAAATATTGGCTTATTGTAGCAAGCACAAAAAAATACTCATGCACGCAATCATTTCTTACAGTTCTCTATAAGTGGTCCGTCCTTGTATACTTAAATTTGCATACATCTAAAGTATTGAAAGAAAAAGAAAGAAATAAAACGATGAAAATAATGTGTACCTTTATATATTTCATATTTTTATTGCACTTTCACTTAATTGCGTTTGAATCTGTGTGTTGAATTTGTACGGAATGAATCGAGATATAAATCGGCCAATATCACGCCAAGCATTAGGACGAACAGCTTTTCTTGGTTCACTTTATGATGCAACAACAGATGAATTTTGTGAACGTGTCATTGTTAATGATGATATTCCAGCGGTAGCTATACGACATTTAGATGAAAATCATGGTCATTCTTCCTATGAATTTGATACAGCTGTATCAAAAAAATTACGAAAATTAAATGTTGATGTATCATTAAGTCTTAGTATATTAGGTGGTATTATTAAAAGTGCAGGAGCAAGTAGTAGTTATTTATATACACGTGATAAAACAAGTCAAAATATTGATGCAACATTTATTCATCGATCCATAACAAGAACAGAATCATTAAATGTTTCTCATAAAGAATTAAAAGCACGTGTAGAACCTACAGCGTTACGACATAAAAATGCTACTCATGTTGTTACATCTATTCGATGGGGTGCTGATGTTTTTGCTCAATTCGAAGCAAAAAGTACTACAGCAGAATCGAAACATGTTGCAAAAGCTGGTCTTAAACTTGAATTAAATAAATTATTAAGTAAATTTGTTTCAGTTAATCCAAGTAGTTCAACTACTGCAGCAGTAGAGGCTGTAAAACCTACTTCTACGACAACAACAGATGGAACTACAACTCCTGGGACCGCTACTATTACTACTCAAGTAAATGGTTCAACCAGTGAGTATTAAACTATCGTTATTCTATATTAATTATTAACTAAAATATAGATGGACCTCAAATATCGTTTGAAAGTACATCAACTGCAACAGTATTTAATTACAAAATAACTTTATTTGGTGATCTTATTCCTACAACTTGTCCAAAAACTATTGAAGAACTTATTGCAATGCTTCCAACTATTACAACTGGCTTACAAAAAACAAATGGTGGCAAAGGACGTCCACTTGAATATATTATGTTACCACTAAGTGAACTAGCAGAAATACTTGGTGAAGATCTTAGTTCTCATAAAATGTTTCGAGCAGTTGAAGAAAGTTTAACACATGAAATTCAAGGATTATTTGATGATTGTGATCAATTACGAATAATTGTGCATACATTACATACTGCAATTCATAAAGTAGAAGATTTTTTTCTCGAAGAAGAAATTAATCAAATAGATGCACATCAACAAGCAATGACTCGTGTTGAGCGTGATATTCGTAGTCGTATTGGAAAAATGTTAGTTCGTTTTCGAAGTGGTCAAGCAGAATCTTCTGAACTCGATCAATTACTTGTTGAATTAGAAACTCAAATGCGAACACAAAAAAAAGAAATAAAACAACTTGAACGTAGTGATATTAATGAAAAAATAAAATATATACATGAACTTAAAGAAAAAAATGTTATTGCCGTTCGAGAACCTGAAACACTTTCAATAATACAAAATAGACATCCAAAACATAAATTAATTGTATTATATGCTAGTAATGAACTTCGAATAAGCTCGAAAGATAAATGGATAACAGTTTATTATGAATTAATACGTCGAATTGAAGCAAATATAACATCAGGTGATCGAATTTTATTTTGTTATTTTGATTATGATTTACATCCGAATTTTCATCCACAACATAAAAAACTTGAAGTACGAGAATATGTTGGTGCTCCAGTTATTATTCCAACGACGCGTATTAAATCAGCAATACTTGAACGAGAACAAAGTATCACTGGAGTTGATTCGCTAGTAAGATAAAACATTATAAAAAGAATTTTTACTGATTAAAAGTTCAGTTTTTTTTTATAGAATTCTTCTTTCTTATTAGTACTTTTAGAGAAGAACTCATTAGAAAAAAATAGTTAAAACTTTTAAAAACATAATTTGATTTCTTTCATATTGTTTTAGTTTAAAAATGTGGGTCATCTTGCTGCAGAATGTGTTTCTCAATGGCAACTTGATGCTAAAGCACGTCTGGATGAAATGTTTGCAAAATCTAATAGTCGTATATTATTACCGTATAATCCATCGTTGGTAACACGGAATGAAGTTTTCGAAAAATTACGACGAAATCAAAAGAATATTCTATTAATTGGTCGATCATGTATAGGAAAATCAACATTTAAAAATGTTTTAACTGATCCAACTTGGATTGGTGATGCATTAAAATCCTATTCTCAAACAGAATTTCCAGTATTTAGTCAATATAGTATTTCTGGTATAGATACTATTCTAAATTTTATTGATACACCAGGTTTATTTCAACGGACAGCAACTGCATCATCATTACCAGATAATACAACTCTTATACAATTAATTGATGGTTATATTCGTTCAAAAGCAACACAACTTCATTTTCTTTGTTTTTTTGTATCAATGGAAACAAAAGTTAATAGAGAAGATTTAAATGTTGTTCAAACATTTTTTGATTTTCTTGGTCCTGAAATTCGAAAAAATGCTTGTCTTATTATAACAAGATGTGAATCAAAAAGTGAACAACAATTAGAATCAATGAAAAAAGACATTCAAATTAATCTTGATTTTAAAGTACTTTCATCACAAATGAAACAAGGATTATTTTTTACTGGATCAATTAATCGAGATGATTGGATTGATACATCATCATCAGTTTATCAACAATTTGAAAATATTTGTGAATATCGAAATAAACTCTTGGATCTTTTTATTAATGTTGATGTTAAACCTTTTGATTTAACATCAAATATTATTGCTAGAAAGATTAAAGAAGAAATTGATCTTAGAGGAAGAATGAAACCGAAATAAACATGGACAAAAAAAACATACGTTGACTCTTTAATTATATTTTGGAATCTATTTCATTTAGAATATATACATTCATACCTATACATTTTAACTAATGGAGAAATCTTTTCCAGTATTTCCTTCCAACTTGTTTGTTTATTGATACTAAATAGTATTTTAGAAAAAAGTTTGAACTGTTTATATACTTGATCTACCATCTTGAGGGTGAGTGAGGGATGCATATAATAACTACACCCACACCCTGAATATAGTTAGTATTCACGTTAAACTGTTAAAATGAATAAAGTTTTTATTTTACAAACGTCTTACGTGTAGAGCACTGAGTAAGAAAATCTGGATCTCAACGATGAAAAGTCATAAGAACAATCTCTTCAAGAAAGATTAATACAACTGAACCAAATGGTGATTTCTAATATAAAAAAACTGTCTATCAGCGCATATATACATATGTTGAACATGTTCATCGAAGGACATAAAGACGAAAAAGCAAATATGATGAGTTTCTTCCCATAAGTAAATGTTGGGGATGAAGATAAACGTTGAGATATATGAGCAGTTTGACGACAATAAAATGACATCATTAATGAAAAATGAAGAGAGAACAGCCGTATAAACACGAACAAGGAAAATAAGCTGGCCAAGTAAATTTCATGTATCATGTGTTTGATTCTTTCTGAAGATAACGTAATAACATCGTAAAATGAAAAAACGCTCTGGCAAAGGATTAACTACCATTACGACCAGAGATACCAGTTTCATCATCGTGCATATTTTGTTCTAATCCTGGACTTGAATCTATATAAATAAAACAATATTTGATAGGGACATATTACTGAATTACTTTGACTGGTCGACAGTTGTTATTCATCATAAACCATTAAGTTCATTTTAGAACAAATAAATACAATATCAGATCCTATATAGTCTGAAAAACCCAGATCGATGATTCTGGGCTTCGGAATAAATTGAATTTTATTGGAAGTCACTAGAAAAAGTGCTGCTCAGAATGCTGCTGTTATGAACTCGCCGAAAGACTCCGGAACCCATCAGTTCTTGGTTGCACTCTTCGATATAGGAACTACAAAGTTTCTATAAATTGGAACATCTTTTTGTTTTTCTCCATCTGGATTTGAGATTTCTTTTAGTTTATCTTCACATAATTTGGTACGATCTCGTAAACTATTTATCCAGAAAACTGAAATATTCAAAAAATATATATTTTCTTTTATAATACTTCAGTTTGTATTTGTTGAAGTGCATGTGCATCCATAGTAGATAATAAAACTTTAATAAGATTGGTAAGACCTTGTCTTCACTAAAAAAAAAATATAAATTAAAAGTCGCACAAAATCACGTGTGTCTACATTTAGAAAGTTAATGCATTAATCAAAATACAGAAGGAAGTGGTTCTTTCATTAGCCCTAGTAGTACCGGCCTGTTTTAAGCACTATATTGACAACATTTGTTTTTTTAAATCATTTTTTTTCTTTTTTCGATCAGTTTCTCAATGTAATATACTGTTTCTGTATTCGACGTCATAGAAAAATGAATATGATTCGCTTTATTTAGAACAAGTCATACAAGTAGTTTCATTACTCAAAAAATATAAAATAAAAAAGACAAGTAACACCATCGATACATTTGATCTACAATGATATAGATCATCCACTATCGTCACTGGATAGCTTTAAACCATTCAAAAAATGTTTTTAATTGTTTGAACATTTATATTCAAGTTGGATTCTTATGAGTCATTGGATTATATATCACAAGTTCTAATTTTTCTTCTTTTTTTCCCTATACTTATAATATTCTGAAGAGATAGGCCTACGTTAACAGGTTATAAGGATATGGAAAACAAATATATGTTTTCTCAGATTCAACAGCATGTATCTATTAAAGATAAATACTGGCTGCTTCTAACAATTGGGAAAAAAAATTATTTCTAGTATATTTTCAAATTTTTGAGATGGGGTCAGAAATGACCCCCGCTGGTACTAATAGGGTTAACTTAACTGGAGAACGTGGACTTAGTTAGACTTCGATTGGTGCATTAACTTTAATGCACTTTCGAAAGATGAATTAAATTAATTCATCTTTCGAAAGTGCTTTAAATGTGAATTAAACTTTCGACTAATCAAGTTCCTTAATTCCGCATTAAATTTTCTAGTGAAGACAATGCCTAACAATAAAAGGCCGAAGACCGAATGAAACCGAAAGTAACTGATTGATATCGATATCGATGATTCAAATCGATGATAACTAATTCGTCTTGTTCGTTGTCGTTTTCGATCTTTTATTATTACCCTTCTTTAGATTTTACTTTGACGTTTTTCAAATAAAAAAAAAAATTCGATGAAAAGTCCATTAAATTAAAAGAAATTTTGCATTAGAGTATAAAAGATGTCGCTAAACATTGCGAATTGATCAAAGTATAACAAACTGAAAATCTCTAGACTTCTTCGAATTTTCAATGGATGATGAATGTCTTTTTTAACTTTATAATAAAAAAATGCTAAAGTATTTATAAGAAAAAACATGTTTCTCGACCGACAATCCGGATTGAAAATAATACCACTTGACTCAGCATCAAATTCTGCAACTAACTCAAGTGGACTGAGACTCAACTCAAGTGGTATCACGAATCCTGACAAAAAACACCCACAACCGACAAACTGACTATTGGTCACTCTAAATTGTGTGGAGTTTGGAATATCTAACTACGCTGAGCCCAATGGCAATGTTTATTTTTAGTTTTTGAAATGATCCGACGTCGCAAAGCCAAGATCTTTAAAAAAAATCTCATGTAATGTTAAAAGCTTTGCGCAGAATGAATTATAGAAATTCTGATTTGGCAGTTTGCGGTTATACAAGAACTAAAAACAAACTCTTTCATTGAACTCAGCGAAGTTAAATATTTAAAATTCAACATAAGTTAGAGTAACTAGTAGACCGTTAATCGATTTCAGGGCTTCCAGTAAAACGCTTACAACTCTTGAATAGTATAACCTAGAATAGTCTACCTTGTCAAGATCGACTAAGAAATATTTTCGTTGTCGATTGCTTAAATTGAAACTTGTAGTTGATTGAGAGACTTTGGAAAAACATTTCTGATTAAAATCTACAGAGGGAACTGATCAGTTTCACCAATTTATAACCCAAATAATTCAACAGAATTTTACATTACCCACATTTCTCTTTCAAATGGTAAAAACTGCAGGTTTCTAGCTGTCTTCCTTCTCGAGATATTTAAAAAATATTCAAAAATACAAATATTGAGGGTGAATAAGATGGCTTAAATATCCTTTCGACAGTTTCGTTATTCGATTTTTTTTTGTCGACATTTTTTCTTTTGGTATTTTTACAGCCAGTTGGTATTTCTAATAGGTTTCTCATCAGTTTCAGATGAAAAAAAAACATTCTTACGATTAATATACAATATTGATATTTTTAGCTTCAATTTTAATACTTTCTATTATTTTCAATTTTACAAATGAAAATCGAATAGCAAGGAGAATATGAATGAGATTTAGAATAAGGAGTATTAATAAGACAAAATAAATTTCGAAATGAAACTGTGGTTTGTTGTTATTATTCGTATTAATTTTTATCTTAATTTTACAAAAATCTGATTTTTAATCACAATATTTCTTCATCTGAAGTTCAATCTTGGTTTTAAGTTAGAGAAGATTGTTTTTTAGAATTGATGAAAATTGTTTAAAATAAAACATAATTTAAAGTGAAACTTTTTATCGATGTTGTTATATACTTATGAAATTCGTTACATTTCATCTTAAACCAATGAGAATAAATTTTGATTTCACACCTCTATAATCATCTGATTCATTTTTAAACCTTTTCATGTATCGAATTAAATAAAATCATCACTGTATTGATTGTATATATGCATACCAATAAGCGCGTTCGTTACACTTAAAATAAATTACACCTGAAAAAGTATAGTCAAATCATGATTATTCTTTCATGCATGCGCGACGTCGTCATTGATTGTTTCGATTAAGAAAGGTATCACAGTGTATATTCACTAGCTTTTTTTTGTAGTTTTAGTTTTATTATTGCTGAATGATATCATGGCCAACTTTGATTTACTGTAAGCAAGATCAGATTTAGTATTTTGTCATTGTTTTTATATGGAAATATGAGAAAAATGGCGTCTAAGAACGCCCTCTCTCTCGCGTTCTCGTTTTTCTCCATGAAAACATTTCAACATGTTATCATATTTTGTTTTATTTCTCATGTTTTATTAAGAAAATTTTGTTCTCAACAGAATCTTTCTATTTTATCTTCATTTTTATTTTCATTCTATATAACAATTATATCAATCAAACTTATAGTTCTCTTCCACATATCTATAAATAAACGAATGTAAGTAAGTCAGTGTGACTAGACAGTTTTTCGTATTTCTTGTAAACTAATACGAAATATGAAATATATTTTTTTATAAATCTATGTTAATTGATTTCAGCTATCTTTTCTATATGTTTAATTTATGAAAATCTATTGAAAAAATACGAGCGGCGCTAGTTTACGTATTCTATATCGTGCTCCAATCAGATAAAACACGAGTAGAGACGGGGTATGTGACTCATTCTATTAAGAAATAAATTGAACAAACGAACGAAAAAAAACCTGAATGAATACAAACATATGATTATCATTGATTTCCAGATGATTATTTATTTCAATTAATATAGATATAAACATGGCATTGAGCGATCTCGTACTTGATTGTAAGTTTTATTTCCTATATAAAAATAATATCTTTATTTTTCAAAATATTGATTTACTCTTAGTTTACGAGATAAGCAATGCAAGTCGAGTTGATATGAGTGATTTTGAATTACTCAAAGTACTCGGAACGGGAGGTAAATTTCAGTTAATTCTATAAAGAATAAACATAAACATAACTCTTTCATATCTAGCCTATGGTAAAGTATTTCTTGTGCGTAAAATAACCGGTGCCGATCTAGGTAAATTAT